GATACAACTACACCACTTTCCCCGACTGAGTGCCTGATCAGGGTGGATGCCGGCTATTTTCAAGTCGGTATGCAACGTGTCGAGCCAGCGCTGTTTGGGACGTCCCTTTGGCCGCTTTCCTGGTACCTCGAGTTCGAGAGCAGTTTTCCGGACGGTATCAGCCTTTGCGCGAAGTACGTGCCCATACCATCGAAGGCGCGTTTCGCGCAATTTCTCTGCTATGGGGGCTACACCATACTTCTTACGCATGACATCATTACAGATGCGGTCGATCGCGTGACCCGCGCGCCGTCCAGCGCAACATCTTCATCTCCATCACGCCAAGGCGAGCCTCAACTTCTTTTGTCGCGGGCCAGCACTCGGCACCATATAACGCGACAGGTCGGACGACAGTACGAATAGATCTTTGATTTGAACCGCCCTGGCATTTTCTTGTCGCGAAGGATCCCGGACACCATGGATTCGCCAGCTTAGACACGCCGCACTCACGTCGTGTGCCTCACTTCCGAGTTAGGACTGTCCGTCGGACCAAGTCGCTGATCCGATTGAATGTTTCCCGGGCGCTTGGCAACCGTGCCATCGATCTTAACAAATAAAGCGGCCGTCTCATTTGGATCAGTTGTCAGCACAACTTCCGTTTTGTAAGGTCAACTGAGTCCAAACTTAGCCAGACGCTCGGCCCAAGCTTGCACCTGCTGTTCCAGTGCGCTCTTATCTTCACAAGCAAGCATCACGTCATCAGCGTAAAGCAGGGTCCATGGCACTTCTTTCTGAAGATCTCGTGAAATGGCATCCATGACGGCCACGAAAAGAAGTGGGGAGAGCGCAGAGCCTTGATGTACCCCGACGGTGATGGGGAACTCAACTGAGACACCCGCTGGTGAGCGAACTTGGCTCCCTGGGCATGAGTAAAGGATGCGCACCCACAACACACACACAAACTGCACCGGTGTAACACAACCGCCGCGGCAGCCGGCACGAGCCGGGCACGGCTTGCCGTGCCGCCTCAAAGCGTACCATATAACATCACGCGGCACCCGATCGAATGCCTTCTCCAGGTCTAGAAGGCTACATGCACGGGCTTTCGCTTCTCACGGTGTTTCTCCATCCCGCAGTAGGCGAGCGGCATTATACGGCGTCGACGGTGCTACAACCGCGAGCACACGAAGCCAAACTTATTGGTGAGAAGCTGACGATATGACGTAATGCGGGCGTCAATAATTCGGCTCAAGACTTCAATAGTGTGTGAACAGAAGGCGAATGTGGACGAATAGTTTGACGGCAGCTCTGCTGGCTGCCTCTCTTCTTGCCAATACCGGGACCGTCACGCTCCTTGCTTGCCGAAGTATTGGGCATCCTTCTCTTCGACGATCTGGTTGAAGAGTTTCGTCAACCAACCCGCAGAAAACCAGCGCTGTGACTTCCACAAATCAGCTGCTATGTCGTCGGGGCCTGTAACTTTGCCGGACTTCATCTTCCTCAGAGCAGCTTCTGTTTCCTGTATGGTGATCTTCTGAACGGGACCATATGTTGGTGCTGTGCAGGGTAGAGCGGGATGGGCGAATTCCACCGTTGAGATGCCCCTCGAATATATTTCACAGCCATCCGTTGTTAAATACGCCTTTTCGGGTCCATTCAGAAGGTGAGCAATTTCTCATCATTTTGCCCACACAAAAAAACTCTCAATGTCTCGTTTGACGATGACGAGATTTGGCAGTCCATACAGGTACCGCTCACCGTCGCGCGTCTCCAGCTTTTTGCTGATATCATCGAAGTGAGCGGCCTTCGCAGCAGCCACGGCCGTCTTTGCCACATTCCTCGCTTCCCGATACTGCCGCCAGTTGTCAGCCGACTTGTGATCGAGAAATGCGTGATAGAGCCTCTTCTTTCTCGAACTTCGCTTTGACGTCGTCCGTCCACAGCCATGCCTCTTTGGGAAGGCGTTTGGGACGTAAAGTTGTGGCTCGATAAAACCCTTATAAGGTCACCTTACTCGGGGAAACCGCTATGCAGCGCCTGTCCGAGGTAACGGAATTCTGTTAAGCCGGTCGTATAAATCCTACATCTGTATAGCGATTTATCGTGCCAACTGCCTTTAAGCGAGCGAATCAAAGAACACCTTGAACGCATGAGGCACGATGATTTGATACTTGATCACAAATAGTAGCTGCGCTGCTGTGTAGTGGGTAAATGGCGAAAAATCGAAGTGAGACGGCCAGAAACCTGCAAAGAAGCTTTGTTCTGCATGCCACTGGAAGAGCATTCTTGAACGTGTTTCCCGTTGGATCGTGCCAGGAACCGCCTTAGTAGATATGGCAGCATGTGCATTGATATATCCATGCAGCAACGCCTCACATCAATTGCACTTCATAAATGAAGCAACAAGAGCACCAGCATCGATGGGACTGTACGGCCCTTTGTGGGCGGGCGCCTGCCATGGGGTCGGTTTGTTGCAGCTTGGTTGGACACTACAACGGTGCCCTTGGTTGGAAAAGGCGTCAGGCAGCGCTTGCTAGGGGCACAATATTCTTTTGTGCTAGGCGTATCAACCTGTACGCCTTGCCGATTTATCTTGTTACCTGCCTTTAATTATCACCGGCTCTTGGCTATTTCATAATTCACAGAACCCACCTTCTCTTGCACATCCATTAAGCGCAACTCTGGCACACCAGCCACCCATTCGAAGTAGTGCGCCACATCCCTACACCACATTGTCTTCAGATTTCTCAACGTGAGTTGTCGGCATTCGTTCGTTTCAGTCTAAACTCTCAGCTTGATACATTAGAACCGTTTCGGGTAGGTTCATCAGGATTAATGAGATACTTTTAAAAATGCTCAGAAACTATCTCGAAACGCTCAGAACCAATGAGAACGCCTTAAAAGGTTCTTACCGGCACCCTCGTGGAGATTCTCTGTGGGAAATGAAGGGCTTCTTCGAGGGAGATGTCAACGGAACAGCTTGGTGTTGATTCGTAAAAGCTACTGTCAGGGGCATCACAATACCTGAAGCAGGTATTTCTCACCTTTCAGTGAAGAATGATGTTGAGAAGAGGAATATGTTCCTTTTAGCATCGTTTTAAAGCATGCAATTGCCGCCACCTAATTTCCTTTGCACACTCACATTTCTAAATTGTTGAAAGCCCTGAGCAGCTGCTCAATATCCATATTGCTCGAATTCATGGCAACACGGTGGCCAAATAGGGATGCTGGCTGAAAATGGCAGGTATTGAGAAGGGAAACGTGCAGATTCAAATCCAAATCCTTTTCTTTGCGCTAGTTTTACTGGGAACTCTTATCAATAACTTTGACCTAAACTTCCAGATAAATGTGCTGATTTCCTCAGCGAAGAATGTCCTTCAGTTCAGGTGTACATGAATTCCAAGCAGGGGAACGAGAGGGATGAATTTAGCTGATTCCCACGAAGTTTCTCGCCCCTGGTTCCGCATGCGCGCACGAAGTTCTGTTCGCTATCGTATTTTAGGGATGAACTCTTGAAAATAAGCACTACTTCATCATACGAAGAAATTTGTTCTGCATTGCTTCTGGTTGCTCCACGCCCATTTAACAAGGGACCTCTGGAACTTCCAGCTACCGTGGCCAAGCTTCATGTTTACACTAAGTAGTCCTTGACGGGAGTGGTAGCTGAAGGAGGTTGTCTCTGCCTGAGACCTCTTTGTTTCTTTCCTGCGCGATGTACCTATGATTCGCGCTGTTTTTGGCCAGTTCGGCGCTAGTCCAGCCCCGCTGAAAGCATTTAGGGGAGAAATGCAGAGGGAATCATCAGTTTGTTCGTTACTATAGGCTTAGGGAGACTGTATTTGGGCACGCTCCTCTCATGCAATGATAATGGTGCGTTAACGAGGTAAGTTTCATTTTTTACGCCACTGATACGCTGGCGGTTGCGGACCGCAGCGGCCGGGCTGCGTGTGTGCACGCGCAGGCGGTGGTAAGCACGATGCCCCTCCCCTTCTTCACCTCGCCCCTGATGAGTTACTCAATTCCTTGATTCGCACATTTCGTTTTAAATCGGAATATAGGTGAGGTTTCAATGCAACAGCCAATATACAAGTTAGTGACTATATCCTCCTCGACAAATCTGGCAAATTCATTAGCCATGCAAGCATGAGAAATTTGGATGGTCCGGGGCTGTCTTATCCAAGACCTGATCCTAATACATGCATGGTGAGCAGTATAAAAAGATTTATTAATGCAGGAACCATAAGCCAACCTCCAGGATTCATCTGAAGGAGACATGGGCGCTCTTGTCCAAGCATGCACCCTTAGCAATAAGGGCTCTCAAAGGGCTCGCTGCCTACCGAATAACTTCCAATAATACCTACAAAGCGGTTTTCTGCAAACATGATGTCGGGTAGATCATCGCACTCATTGTCGCTGTCGCTGTCGTCTTCGTCATAGTAGGGCATTGCACGAGGCATCAAAGCCATTCCTCCTGAAGTAAAATTGTGTGAAACAAGTTCTCGGGCTTGGAATGTGAGAGAGTCTGATGAGATGAGAAAAGATGGCGCCCTTGCCCTGAAAGAATGACACAAATCACACCAGCCCGGTAGGCAAAAAGAGCAGTCATTTGCCCGTAACTCGACATTATTGCGATATGTTTCCAATGAATTTCCTTGTGATATTGTATATTAAAGGCAGCGTCCGCGATCAACCAAAGTGAAAAAACCCTCCAATGAAAACGAACGCGGAGTCGCAACCACAGCGGAAATCCCACTCTTGCGGCTCGAAATCGATTGGTTGACGAGGGCGGAGTCAACAAGGCTGAGCTGACGCCTCC